CATTTCATGGTCTGTAGTCTTTGCTGATGTGACGACCTGCACAAACTCATCCTAATGTGACTTTTGGTTTCATTTTCTTACCTCATACCCATTCTTTGTATACTTATTTTTCTTCACGTCTTTGTTTAGCTTCCCGTCCTTTCTTTCCCCCAGACCTGAGCCATTTGGTGTTTACTAGTCCTGTTATTTTGTATATTATATATTCCTATTTTTGTTGCCAGGCCTTTTTCTCCCAGCGCGTCAGGTCTGCTGGGGCCTGTTCTGTTTTCGCTTTGTTCCGTCAGGAAGAATTGACTTTTGGTAAAGCTCCAAACCCTGCAAAATAACCTATTTGTTGTTGTTTGTTTCCTCTGCACCGGAGTAAGTGTAATTTACACATGTGTGTAAATGCTCTGCTCAGAGCAAGGGACATACTATGAAAGGGCCGAGACCACTAAGGGTGGGTGGGTCAAATAGACAGTGGTCCCCCACCACCGGGCCGCAGACTGGTACCGGTCCGTACAGAATTTTTTTTGTTGAAAAATGACTGGGTTCTCTTCCAATTAGAGCTTGTCCCTCTGGACTAATTGTCTAACATGAAACGGTGAGGCAGAAAAGGTTGAGGACCACTGAGAACTCTTAGCCAGCAGACCAGTGTCAGAGACGGCGCTTAATGTCCCAAAGTGTCATTGAGTTATTTTAAAGTTACATTGGTGACGTTTCGGTTTTCAATACTTACATTGTTTAAGTTTAAATTCCCGTATGTACTTATTTTGAGCCCAACCACAATGTTTTCTTAAACCTACCGTATTACTTTGCAGCTCTCTGGAATTCTGAGCTTTCCAGCGAAGATGGCAACAAGCTCAAAAGAGAAATGAGAATCTCACCTCTACCGTAGTGGGAAGATGTTGATTAATACGATTTCAGCACAATACAACTACAAAACCAGTTAATAACAAACGTTTTATGTCAGACTACATACAAGTCAAAGTCTGTGGGCAAAATAAACACTACACATATTTTTTTCACAAATACATTCAGGGAATTGACTAAATAATTAAATTATATACAAATGATAGTAGTTCCTAGTAATTAAAAAAAAAAACAGTTCCTTAAGCAGTAGATGGTTCAGCAATGATAATGTTAAAATGTCAAAGGCCGATTTGCTGCAACAGGTACAGGCCATCTACAGGCGCGTTTACATTTGAATAATTGCATTCGCTGATTGAAACACATAAGGTGCTGTGATGAAGACCCAGGGAGGACAAAAGAAAACACAGGAAGTTGAGGCTCTAACACAACACAGTGACGTCAAACCCTCACGGAGGTAGGCAAGCATCCATCCGGTAGGTGTCCGTCTGCTGTTAAAGGGGGTAAAGGAAAATATATTATACCCACCTAAAAGAACAAAGAATTTAAGGTCAAGTATATATTACACATAGAATATTAGTTCAGACTCTTGTTAGTCAGGGCGATTTGACAGCAAGAAACAGCAGTAAAAAGATAAGGAACTGAGGAATTATTTTATTCAGGTGGTCCTTATAGGTGGCTAAGACCACTTTTGATGCTCTGCTTGTCAGCAGCACTATATTACTTTCTGTTCTCTTGTCTGCACTCCTGCCTGTTTCTCCAACAGGGGGCGTAGCGACTGCTGTAGTTTGGAGGTCTGTAATCACATTACAACAATAACAGTTCACCAGATGGGAGCGTCATTAAGGTGAATTTGTCTGCGTACAAAATGTGTGGTAAGTGCACCGACACGGTTGGACAAACCCACTTTATTACTGTCTGTGAGTTTTGAGGGGGGTGTTGAACTTCTTCCCTGGAATCTTTGTGCTTTCTATCCTCACAGGTTTCCACGGATGGTGTTTATCTCCCGACCCTGGTCCTGCCTCCTGCCTCCTGCCTCCTGCCGCGCCCCTGCAGACACCTACCGCTTCTGACACTATTCTTCTTAGTTTTCACTATTTTACCTTTTTATAATTACTATTGCTGTCAACATTAATGTACATCTCTGTTCCTGCAGTGGTCCTGCCTACTATCCGCTACTACAGTCATTATTTTAAGTAGTCACATTACTATTGCTAACACTATTACTACTTTTGTTATCATTCATTCATTCTACCAGGGCGGTACAGTGGTGTGGTTGTTAGCACTGTCGCCTCACAGCAAGAAGGTCCTGGGTTCAATTCCCAGTGGCCTTTCTGTGTGGAGTCAGCATGTTCTCCCCGTGTCTGCGTGGGTTCTCCGGCTTCCTCCCACAGTCCAGAGACATGCTCTGGGGATCAGGTTCATTGGTTCACTCTAAATTGCCTGTAGGTGTTTGTCTTTGTGTAGCGATTGGCTGTCGGCTGGGCCCCCCCCCACGACCCTGTGTGCAGGATAAGCAGTGGATGGATGTTACTCTACTATTTCCACTACCGCTGTTGTAATTGGTAATTTTAAATTATTATTATGTGGCTTAGTCCTACCAATATTTTATCAACTTTATGATTTCTGGCATCAGTTCATCATTCTGTACACATGGCATCCATTGCATTGTGTCCATCCCAGGAGAGGGATCCTCCTCTGACGTTCTCCTTGACGTTTCTTCTTTTTAAATCCCTGTTTTTTTCAGTTTTTGGGGAATTCTTCCTGTGCCGATGTAAGGCTTTTGGGACAGAGGATGTTGCATGTGTACAGACTGTAAAGCCCTCTGAGGCAAATTTGTAATTTGTGATGTTTGGATATACAAAATAAAATGAATTGAATTGGCCTCACACCTTATGAATTCAATTCGGAAGGTATTTCAGTACAAACTCCTTCATACACAACCTCTTTTTTTACCCACTCACTACCTTCCCAGCAGCAAATAGCAGACAACTAAGGACTAGCTAGTGACCATAGTGGAGCATTTAGCTGCTATAGAATTTTTGATTTAGCCCCACCCATAAATGAAAGGAGAGTGAATATATGTTGAGGGCCACAACTGAATCTACAAATGTATAAAATTGAAAATATGACAAATGAATTAAAAGAATTCAAGTTTGACTTCCATAGAAACCTTTTTTTAATATAACGTGCTGTAGTAGATAGGAGGCAATGAAATAAATGAGAGAATCCATTGAGTCACAGGAGATAGCAGAGCAGTGTCTGGACCGGAGGAGACCAATAAGGACTTTACAATCACGCTTCGGACACTAATTGGTGAATTCAAACTTACTTCCAATACTTGTAATGTAACCCATTGCATATTATATGGTGATACTGATAGATAAATGATCTTAGAATGCCAAATTTACTTGGACTTTAGAGTGAGATAAATCAAAACACATGAACAGATGAAGCCACATAGTCACACCCATCACTGAATGATCTGGCGAGTGAATTGTTGGCCTCGGATTTGTAAGTGATAGCAGCTTTAACAAAATTTCTCCGAGAATCAGCTGGAACCATGATACCAAAATAGAATGTGAGACCAGAGAGAAAGAGTTGTGAGGTATTCAACATTTCAACCTCTCGCTGTTGGTTAAAGTCAGTGCAAAAACTCTCTCGTAAAATCTCGTAAAATAAACTCGGACCATTCAAAACATGCAGATTGACCTCTGCCAAATGGCTGTAGGGGAACTGAATCCCTTCCAACACCATTCTGAGCAGATTTCTCTTTTACTTCCACGAGTTCCTTCACACATGCCTGGCAACTTGACTAAAAGTGGGCGATAGTGACCGCACAAGTCATCTAACTCACCAAAGACAAAGTCATCGTTCTGATCCACACATAACAGGATTTGTTGGCTGGTAAAAAGATCCTCACCCGGGGACTCTAGTTCATCAGGCGTTCATTTGAACCTGTCTCAAAGCACTTGGTTTTATTGAACCATCTGCACTCAAAAAGAGCAGCTGGGAAAACGTAGCAGCATTCTGCCCTCTTCATAATAGTGAGCCTGCTGTGCCTCTCCGTCAGCTCATTCCACAGCAGACTACCACAGGTCTCAGTCTTCCATTTTTTGTTTTCCCATACATTCTTGTACGTTTTTGCCAAGGACAGCTGTCCTTATCTTGAACAGACCATAATTCACTTTTAAAAGTATCAATAAGAAAGTAGTAAGACCTTCTAAGAGGCCATTAACTTAGCTCTGGTCCAGACTCTGACCCAACACTGGATTTTTGTATTGGTTCCAGCCAGCATTCACTGCTGTTAGCTGCCACAGTACATCATATTTTTAATGATGCTCTATTGACCATTACAGCAGGAGTTTGTCATTTTGCTATTTCCCTTCTTCCAACGTGTCTCATTCATTGAGACCGGATCTTGCGTTTTCATCTAAGGGAGTTGCTGCATTTTTCAATCCATTCTAAGAAATAATTGTGTCACCTAGATTTTTAAAGACGTTTTGCCAAATGTATTCTGGTTTTAACATAAAGTTCCATCTGGTCCACTTTCAGAGGGTTCAACCCATAAGTCTTCTCTGGTGTAATTGTTCAAACCAGAACCCACCCTGGAGGTTATATCCAGCACCCAGCGAGTTCTAAATAGATCCATTTTACATTCCAAGGTTTCAATCTGGAACCCACGTAGTTCCTAACAACCCGTAACAGCTATGGTCCTATAACAGTTTTTGGGAATATGTGCACGGACGATATTTTAACAAAGAGGCTTTAAAAAGAGTTTTGTCAAATAAGGGTTCTTCAGAAGTAAATCGTTCTGGGTAAAACCTAGTGTAACCTGCAAATATTCAGGGTGCAAAAGAAGCTTCCTCCTTTCTGACCATGCCATCCTGTTTCCCGGGGATCTGACCTCACATATATGAGAGTGGATAATGAAGAGCGAACACCCAATAGGCAGAAATCTGGAACATCTCATTCCCTCTCATTTGGCATTTGGTTTGTCAAGAATTAGTTTCTAGGTTGTGGCTACGGTTACCGACCTCACTCCTTCATATAAGGCACCTCTTTTACCCTAAATAGTTTACTTAGTAATACATTACATGTTTTCAATGCCTCATAGATGTTGCTGAAAAGACTACCTAAATGTACAATAATTGGAGGAACATTGGCATTTATTCTTTACTACTTAATAGGTGGTCCCTTCTAAGCAGTTCATGAAATGTAACATGTGGTTTTATAATGGTTAATAAAGCATTTACTAACACTTATTAGAAAGTAAGAACCAATAACAATTAATTAATGGATTATCAGCATTTATAACTGCAACACAAAGGATAAGGACATGGTATTTTCACAATCTAGCAACAAAATTTGCTCTTATGTAAGACTTCTACCTGCTCTACTAGGGCTGTCAATTGGCTGAGGTTCAAACTGTTGTTAGAAAATGAAAGAAAAAGAATATTCAAAATGTGGAAGTTGAGTTCAGATTAGCAGATCATTTGTGAAACATTTATATAGCCGTTGGGTACTGCTTTCATTCCCTTCGTGAAGTGATTTATTGAATTACATTGTTGGGTCTCTTAAAGGGGACATATTATGAAGATTCCATGTCGATATTGCTTCTACACGTTAAGGTGTCTGTCTAGGATATCTACAAACGCTGGAAAAAAACAACAAAAAACGATAAAATGGTGCGCTTCAGACACAAGGTGAACACAGACAATACGAGAAAAACGTTTTTTAACATTAAAGCATGTGACCGTGTTAAGGTTGAAACCGTAAATCCAAGTATGAGTGTTAAAATTAGCTTCATATGTCTCCATTAAGTGGTAGCAACAATCAGAATTTGCAAAGTATGTAAAATACATAATATAACTAGATTTAGCTATCACAGGGCTATGAGATGATATTCATGCATGTAAATACACAGTGTATCGTGGTGTTGAAGTCTGTGCCACAGAGCCAGGAAATCAACACAAGCAAAGCATCTCCGACTGACTGGAGCAGATTATATGTGAAGTAGGAACCGGTGTCATTACAGCTTCCGAGTTGGTAAATAAACACTGCTTATGTTATGGGAGGGTAACTTCAATATGCTGTACGAAGACTTGCAAATGTAGCTGGTGTTAAAATGACATGTTGTGAGTGCTCTTCAGACTACACCATGACTAAAAAATACAAAACAAATTATAGCACTTGAATGGTACTTATAATGGCTCTTATCTATAGCACGTTGTAAATCGCCTTATTTAATCAAATTGCACTTTCTTATTTCTTATTCTTCTGGGTTTGTATCCTTATGGTTGAAATGTACTTATTGAAACCCGCTTTGGATTAAAGCGTCAGCTACATGACATGTAGAGTAATGTAGAGTGCAGCCATTTTGAGCCCTTAAGTGATAAACGAAAAGCAGCAAGAGCACACATGTGGCAGGTCTGAAGTCAATAAGTTACATCAGGATGGATAATATGTCAGCCTGTCGAGTCACCTTTGGGTCTTAGTCAAACAAAAACTTATTATGTAACGAACATGTCATGTGCAAAAAGAGAGCAAAACCCATCCATCAAGGGACTAATGATTTGCAGAATTTCTGTGTACATCAATAGTGACTTGTACTACAAACCTCACCATGCCTGTGAATAGAACTTGTTGTGGTTAGTACACAAATGTAAAAAGCAGGTTCTGCTGAAGCACTGCAGTCTGCTCACTGGGATCGGTGGGGTTATCCGGAGTAGCAGGAGATGGCAGAGAAAAGGGCACTGCCAGGTGTGGGAACTGTTGAGAGAGTGTTTGAGCAGGTGGTCCCACCACACTGTATGCCTTTAGGACAGAGAGCCCATTCAGAACTGCTACATCCAGAAAGGTCACATGGAAGGAAGAGGATAAGTCAAAGTACAAAGCCTCCAGCTCCACTGCCACCCCCGATGCTGGGGAGATGATCATTTCCTGGCTCGGGTAGGGAGCCTCTGGTGCTGCGCTGTGGATCCTGAGGGTCCGTAGACCTAGCAGAACCAGGTACTGACTGTCTATTGGTTTCATTCCACAAAAAGACAAGAGCAAATGGCCCACCATGCTCCGGTTCAGCAACTCCTCCAGAACCCAGAGCTCTTTCACCCACACTGCCAGTCGTCCAGGCTCTCTGAGCCCGGCAGGGGGCAGAGCGGAGCGCAAAACGGTGTGGCATCTGCACAGCGAGTTGGCCAGTACCTCATCGCATTCCCGAATGGGAGAGTAGCAGCTGCAATTCCGCAGGTTGTAGGCACCACTGTTGAACAACAAAGTGGTATTGAGCGATAGGGAAGTTTCAGATCGGGGGGCCGAGTTGGTTGTCAGGGTGACTTGGGTCAGGAATAACAGCAACCAATGTGACCAGATAGAGGAGACGTTGTTTAGAGACATCTCCATGCAGGTCAAGACTACATCTTCACCAAGTTGAGAGAGCTCATTGCAGAAAGAAGGTCAAAGCTGTAAACCGAGAGTAAAGTTAACAGTTATACACGTAGAGACAGCAAGACAATACTTAGAAAAGCTTAGACATTTGTTCTTGACGTCTCTCATCAAAGACCTGAGCTCAGCTGTATCACAGATTGAATCACCACTCTATGACTCATTCAAACACCTAAAAATGGCACACAAAGAAACTCCTTCTCACTGTGTGCTCAATAGTTACATTTCTGTTAAGTTTTTTACAGATGGAGGCCAGCTTTAGACCAAACTGAATTTAGCGCTTTATTTCCAGTTCAGCTCCGTCTCTCTGTTTCTTCTCTCTCTCACACACACACACACACACACACACACACACACACACACACACACACACACACACACACACACACACACACACACACACACACACATAATTGAGACACATTTTTCTTTATCTCCAATTTTCCTGGGGAGAGGTCCTTCCAAGCCCCAGGCTACTGTGAATGGCTTACAGCTGCTTATAAAAGTCCCTGTGTTATGCTGTGCTGTGGTGAAATAGGCAATAGCCAGTCCTATTAAATGTTTGGGGAAAATGAAACACTGGCCTCTTTCTTTCCCCATTCAGTAACTGTGGAAAAGTGGACTGAATTAGCTTTCTCGAGTTATGGAGTAAACTTTTCCCCACTCTTTTTTTCCGCAGAGTAGAGAGTTCGCAAATTCAAAAAAATTTGATTAACGTTATGTTGCTAGGGTTATTAACATTATTCATTCTTCAAAAAGAAAGATGGTAAGAAATTAATTTCCTTTCCCTCGAGTTAAATTAAGATTAACCCCATGAGCTGCAACATTAATGTTTATTAATCATAATAAGCCTGTATCTAGCAGTGTGTCCCACAGGATTAGAGTATATCCCCTGGGAAGGCGGGACAGGTGTCTGTTAGGATATCGTTCGCTAGCCATTGTAAATCAAATGAGGCAATTAGTGTAATGGACTGATTGCTAGTTAGTTGCGAGTTAGTGAGGTGAGGAAGTGTTGACAGAATCAGAAGCCATTTATTGCCACATATGTTACACATAAAGGAATTTGACTTGGTGAATTGGTGCAATATATGAATAAAATAAGATAGCCGACTGCAGGAACACTACAACACCAAACAACTGGATGGATAAATGACGTGTCCAGCAGATAACATTAACTTCCTGAAATCCTGCGCAAGTTGTCTGTGAAGCTGAACACACCTCTACCTGCCTCAGCGGCCTGTAAAAGGCTGTTTAGCAGTGCAGGACTAATCTTCAGCCCAAGAAGAGCTAGCTTGAATACTCGCAATTTTGAAAACCAACTTCTTTTGAAGATGAACAGGACATTCTTCAGTTTCAAATAATGTCTAGGTTGTTTGCATTTTTTGATATTTGAATCATTTTGTGGATGATCGGATCGAGTTATGATGGCAGCAGTCGTCCAATTGCAGATTCTGCTTGAGCAAAACCTTTGCCTACCATGTTCAAATCAGACCCAAAGGAGTTTACAAGTCAGGTCAGCTTTCTTGGTGGCTGCAACTATTTTGTGCTGAAGGGCAGCTATTTACTTACTAAAGTACTGCATCCCGCATCCTTCAAACTACGTATTTCAGATCACATACTTAATTAGTATGCATTGGCTCCTGCCTTCTATGAATAAGTATGATTTTACAAGCAAACTGAGGTTCATCTTTGTGCATTCTTTTCCAGGAAACTGTCGCCCGCAGAGAGAATCTATGATGTGCGTAATCGAGAGCTACTAGCCATCAAGCTGGCCCTCTAGGAGTGGAGGCACTGGCTAGAGGGGACAGAACATCCGTTTTTGGTCTGGACTGACCACAGGAACCTGGAGTACATCCGATCAGCTAAGAGACTCAACTCCCGACAAGCCAGGTGGGCTTTATTCTTTACCCTTTTTCAACAAACTCTTATCGTCCACGATCCAAGAACACAAAACCGGATGCCCTTTCTAGAGTATTTGACCCGGACGCTCCATTGACGGCACCTTCCACCATCTTGCCCCCTTTCTGCACAGTTGGGGCAGTAACATGGGGAGTTGACGAAGAGGTCAAGGGTGCTCTCGAGAGGGTAACCGTTGCCAAGGGTTGCCCACCTAACCGCCTATTTGTTCCCAAGTCGCTTCGGTTTCGGGTCATCCACAGGGGACATACCTCTCAACTTACCTTCCACCCAGACAGTGGTTGAACCCTGAGCTATCTACAGTAACGGTTCTGGTGGCCCGCCATGATCAAGGAGGTGAGAGAGTATGTTGTGCCCTGTCTGTTCCCAGAGCAAGCCCTCTCGTCGCCCACCAGCCGGCTAACTCTGGCCATTGTCCCATATCTCCATTGATTTCGTCACTGGTCTCCCAGCCTCTGAAGGTTTTCTAAGATGGCCCACTTCATCCCCCTGAGTAAATTACTCTATGCCAAGGAGATTGCGGAGGTTCTCCTGTCTAACATTTTTCGGCTACATGGTCTCCCGCAGGACGTTGTTTCCGACCGTGGCCCACAGTTCATATCACACTTTTGGAGGAGCTTTGCTTGCTCGTCGGGGCGACGGCCAGCCTGTCATCTGGGTATCACCCTCAGTCCAATGGCCAGACCGAGCGATACAACCAGGAGATGGAGACGGGATTACCTTGCATAGTCTCGCAGAACCCCACGGCATGGAGTAAGCATCTCATTTGGATTGAATATGCCCATAACTCCTTGCCCGTTTCTGCCACAGGTTTTTCGCCCTTCCAGTGCGTGTATGGCTATCAGCCCCCGCTCTTCCCCAACCTGGACGGGGACTCATCGACGGGGGTCCCGTGTATATCGTGAGGCGACTGTTGGCAGTCTGACGGAGGGGTAGGGGCTGCCAGTACTCAAACTCTGGGAGTAATTGAACCAGTGGATGAGCCCACAGAATGGGTTCTGAATTTGGTGGCTACACATAAGAAAGAGACGGGTGACGTGTGCATCTGCATAGACCCCAGAAACCTAAACAAGGCCCTCGTGCGCCCTCACCATCCCATGCCGCTCAGATGTCAGGTTCCGCTGGTTCTTTTCCATCCTTAATGCCAAAAGCTCTTTTTGGCAAATCAAACTGGATAATGCCTCATCCCTCCGCACAACATTCACAACTGTATGGCTGATTCAAGTTCTTAAAGATGCCGTTCGAATTAGTACAGCCTCAGTATTTCAAAGAGCCAACAAACAAATCTTCCAGGATATCCATTTGCTATAATAGTGGACGACATCTTCGTTGGTGAGAAAGAACCTGATGAGCGTGAAAGAAACCTGAAAAAGGTACTGGATCATGCCAGACAGGTGAGACTGAGACTGTATCCCAGCAAATGCTTGGACTCAACGAGGTGAGTTATGTTGGGTACACATTCCCTAAAAAAATTAAAGCAATCAGTGAAATACCACCCCCAGAGGACAAGCCAGCTCTTCAGCGCTTCTTAGGAATGGTAAACTACAAATTCATTCCAAACCTAAGTGACCTTACCCCACCACTACATGCTTTTGATGGGCTCAAGACCTTTCATCCCCCTTCAGCCCACCCCCACCTATTACTATGATGTGAGGCAACCAGTGACACTCTCCAGCGATGCATCACAATATGGTTTAGTCTTGCACACTGACGGAGACGAGATACACGCAAATCGAAAAGTAACTTCTAGCGGTGGTCTTTGCCTGCTACAAGTTCTATGACTACATCTATGGCAAGGCTGTTGTAATTAAGACTGACCACCAGCCCATGGTCACCATTCACAACAAGCCATTTCACACCATCCCAGCTCAGCTGCAACGCATGATGTTATAGTTGCAAAAATTCAACCTGACTCTCACCTACACAAAAGGAAAGCATCTCTACTTGACCCGGACGCTCCATTGACGGCACCTTCCACCATCTTGCCCCCTTTCTGCACAGTTGGGGCAGTAACATGGGGAGTTGACGAAGAGGTCAAGGGTGCTCTCGAGAGGGTAACCGTTGCCAAGGGTTGCCCACCTAACCGCCTATTTGTTCCCAAGTCGCTTCGGTTTCGGGTCATCCACAGGGGACATACCTCTCAACTTACCTTCCACCCAGACAGTGGTTGAACCCTGAGCTATCTACAGTAACGGTTCTGGTGGCCCGCCATGATCAAGGAGGTGAGAGAGTATGTTGTGCAAGCCCTCTCGTCGCCCACCAGCCGGCTAACTCTGGCCATTGTCCCATATCTCCATTGATTTCGTCACTGGTCTCCCAGCCTCTGAAGGTTTTCTAAGATGGCCCACTTCATCCCCCTGAGTAAATTACTCTATGCCAAGGAGATTGCGGAGGTTCTCCTGTCTAACATTTTTCGGCTACATGGTCTCCCGCAGGACGTTGTTTCCGACCGTGGCCCACAGTTCATATCACACTTTTGGAGGAGCTTTGCTTGCTCGTCGGGGCGACGGCCAGCCTGTCATCTGGGTATCACCCTCAGTCCAATGGCCAGACCGAGCGATACAACCAGGAGATGGAGACGGGATTACCTTGCATAGTCTCGCAGAACCCCACGGCATGGAGTAAGCATCTCATTTGGATTGAATATGCCCATAACTCCTTGCCCGTTTCTGCCACAGGTTTTTCGCCCTTCCAGTGCGTGTATGGCTATCAGCCCCCGCTCTTCCCCAACCTGGACGGGGACTCATCGACGGGGGTCCCGTGTATATCGTGAGGCGACTGTTGGCAGTCTGACGGAGGGGTAGGGGCTGCCAGTACTCAAACTCTGGGAGTAATTGAACCAGTGGATGAGCCCACAGAATGGGTTCTGAATTTGGTGGCTACACATAAGAAAGAGACGGGTGACGTGTGCATCTGCATAGACCCCAGAAACCTAAACAAGGCCCTCGTGCGCCCTCACCATCCCATGCCGCTCAGATGTCAGGTTCCGCTGGTTCTTTTCCATCCTTAATGCCAAAAGCTCTTTTTGGCAAATCAAACTGGATAATGCCTCATCCCTCCGCACAACATTCACAACTGTATGGCTGATTCAAGTTCTTAAAGATGCCGTTCGAATTAGTACAGCCTCAGTATTTCAAAGAGCCAACAAACAAATCTTCCAGGATATCCATTTGCTATAATAGTGGACGACATCTTCGTTGGTGAGAAAGAACCTGATGAGCGTGAAAGAAACCTGAAAAAGGTACTGGATCATGCCAGACAGGTGAGACTGAGACTGTATCCCAGCAAATGCTTGGACTCAACGAGGTGAGTTATGTTGGGTACACATTCCCTAAAAAAATTAAAGCAATCAGTGAAATACCACCCCCAGAGGACAAGCCAGCTCTTCAGCGCTTCTTAGGAATGGTAAACTACAAATTCATTCCAAACCTAAGTGACCTTACCCCACCACTACATGCTTTTGATGGGCTCAAGACCTTTCATCCCCCTTCAGCCCACCCCCACCTATTACTATGATGTGAGGCAACCAGTGACACTCTCCAGCGATGCATCACAATATGGTTTAGTCTTGCACACTGACGGAGACGAGATACACGCAAATCGAAAAGTAACTTCTAGCGGTGGTCTTTGCCTGCTACAAGTTCTATGACTACATCTATGGCAAGGCTGTTGTAATTAAGACTGACCACCAGCCCATGGTCACCATTCACAACAAGCCATTTCACACCATCCCAGCTCAGCTGCAACGCATGATGTTATAGTTGCAAAAATTCAACCTGACTCTCACCTACACAAAAGGAAAGCATCTCTACTTAGCCGACACCCTTTCCCGTGCACGAGATGCAACATCAGCCCCCAGAGGGAAGAACGGCCAGAGTTTGAGGTGATGAAAGTTCAACTAATATCCCTACGATGCCTTGAAGAACTCCGTCAACACACCGCTGCAGAAGCTCTGTTTCATTCAACGGGGCTGGCCTAGGCATCGATGCAGTGTACCTACAGAGGTGAGACCATTCTTCACATTCCGTGATGAACTCACCGTCGTAGACAGGATCTTCATGAAAGGAAACCTCGGAATACCTGAAGGTGCTCCACATGGGACACCCAGGAGTTAAGTCCACAAAGGGGGAAAGTGTCTTCTGGCCATCTTTAAATGGAGGACATTCAGGCTGCCATGGCATACGGCGTCTGTAACAGCCTGATGTCCCACAAACAAAAAGAGCCGCTAAAACTGCACATAGTCCCAGTCCTGCCCTAGTCTCTTGTCGCCACAGACAGGGCTGTAAGTGGAGAGTAAACGCACGTAAACGCCGTTTACGCACCTTTGGAAATAGCGTTCACACACCTCTAAACAGCGTTTACCCACCTCGAAGTGGCCTCAAAGTTCCCTGCGCCTTGTATTCCTCAGTGGGAATAATCCCCATTACCTGGTACTTGTTGATTCATACTCTGGCTGGTTTGAAATTGACCAGCTCAGCAGCCTGTCATCAATAAGCTAAAGCGTCACTTTACCACAAAGGTGTCCTCAGCAATGGCACCCAGTATACCAGCCAGGCTTTCCTGTATAGGTATTCACAGTCCACAGTATTCACAGTCCACAGGTGGTAAGACTCCGAAACAAAAAGGGGACATAATAAAGTGGGAATTGTGAAGCGAAAGTGTGATAAGCCACGCTCATATTGTGGTAGATTCTGAAGGGAAGGAATACGCGTAACCGACGCCACATCCTCCCAGTGATGGAGCCACAGGCTCCAAAGACACTGATGACACTGATGAACTGCTGGTTACACATTTGACCCTGACATGGACAAAACACACAGGACTGAAAGAACTGAACAAACAGCCAGCAGAACAGTGTCACAGGCAAAGTCCAGAAAAGCCTCCCACTAGTGCATCCCAGCCAAAAGCCCAGTTCATATCGCCACCTCCATGGATCTCACTAGGTCCGGCAGAGCCTCTAGGCCAAATAGAAAATACATGACCTCAGATAGCTGCTCAACTGTATTGAATCCAACAGCATTTTGTGCAGTTGTGGGCCACTTTACAGAGTTACTTTTGAGTTATCCAAATCATAACTACGTTTCTATTATAAAACTGCTGTTAGTGCAGAAGTGTGTGATTCTATTTTCTCATGTTCAGGAGCTAAAGAGAGGGATGTAGATAGCTGTATTGTTTAACTGTTTTGACCCTAAAGCGTTAACTTACTATAAGTGGGTCTCGCGGGATTAACTTCCGGTGTCGTGGTTTTGTTATTAGCGGGAGGCGGATTCTCTCTGTTAAACTGTGGTGCACAAATAAAGAAGGTTCCAACTCTCATTCGGATACTTTATTACACACAGCGACACTTACCCGTTTCTTTGATTGATATAGAATAAAAACTTTCTGGTTCAAATTTCTTTTAACAATATTCCTTTCATTTAAGTGGGGATTGTCAGTTTGGATATGTGTACACCCTAGGGGTGTAACGATTAATTTTAACAACGATTCGATTCGAATCACGATTCATGGTTGCCGATTCGATTCATGGACGATCTGGGTTCATTTAGAACGATTCGATTCAGTGACTTGAAATCGATTCAGTAACTTTACTGGACAGTGCAGGCAAAGTTTCTGAGATCCTTGTTGTTTCTTGTAAGGAAATCAAGTTTAAATTAATTACGGATATTATAAATAAGCAAACAACAATTAATGGCTTCCTGAAATCCTTCCCAGCTGTGCGCAAGTTGTCTGTGAAGCTGAACACACCTCTACCTGCCTCAGCGGCCTGTGAAAGGCTGTTTAGCAGTGCAGGACTAATCTTCAGCCCAAGAAGAGCTAGCTTGAATACTCGCAATTTTGAAAACCAACTTCTTTTGAAGATGAACAGGACATTCTTCAGTTTCAAATAATGTCTAGGTTGTTTGCATTTTTTGATATTTGAATCATTTTGTGGATGATCGGATCGAGTTATGATGGCAGCAGTCGTCCAATTGCAGATTCTGCTTGAGCAAAACCTTTGCCTACCATGTTCAAATCAGACCCAAAGGAGTTTACAAGTCAGGTCAGCTTTCTCAAAACACTGACCTGATGCATTAAGGTGATTTTTTTGCTGAACACAATATTCACTTCATCCTCTAGTCGGATTGAGCATACCTATAAATGCATCGTTATTTTATAGTGTCATGTTGCTTTTCTGAGAATTATGATATTAACTTGATAGTAGTTGCAAAAGTATACTTATTTACAATGTATTATGTTGAACATTATTGCTCCTGGAAGGATCACAGGAATATAATAGATGTATTCACTGTCTTGCATGTGCTTAAAACAGCTTCAAATGATATTCAGTCAAATGTTACGACCATCTCTCTTTAATCTGTATTCATGTTGGAATTCTAAATTATACACACGTGCTGCTAACACACTTGTCTTCACTGTGGTTGGTTATAGAAGCAGCTGCCCTCCATGCCTGTCCTCGTCATCATATATCTGTTTCTGGCTCTCCAACATATTACACAAGTCACTTTCTCTCTTTTTCCATTCGTCTCTCCTGGATCTTTCCACTGGTGTTTCCTCTCTCTCCTCGTTTTGTCTCTTTTGCTTTCCTTTTCTCAATCTCCAGCTCTGTAATCCCTGCAACAAACTCCAGCTGCAGGACCGGATGCTGAGAGGGAGGGCCGAGTAAAGATGGAAATCAACCAATGAATACACATTCCACTTAAATGACAATGTAAGTCTGATTACATTTATTCATTTTAATGGCAATGTAAATCAGTTGCTATATATCCGAGAAATGTTCTACATGCACATGCTTATAGTTAATTGAAAATTGTTACTGCTGCTGTCAAAGCCGTCTTGATTCTGATCAAGTGAAAGAGTAAGAGTGTGTATGCTGGCCGCAGACAGAAAAAGAGTCGAATTCAGGTGCGTTAAAGGTTCATCAAAAACCAGAGGTGGCATTTAACTGCGCTTCATGCGGCTCTCTGTTTGAAAGTGCGGCTGACCTCTGCCTGGCTCCTCTTTGCCAGTGAAGGTGCATTCCAAAGCGGACGGCTTAGTGTTTCGGTTGATGTTAATCTCTGTGGAAACCCATACACAGTACTCCGTGCCAATCTGCAGGTTGGTCACAGTAGAATTCCTGGATTTTGTGAGGAAGCACTGCTGGTGAAATACAGACAAAAGCGTTTTGAGCATCACCCCAGACGCCGGCACTCTGTCCATCAGCCTTCCAGTTCGGTCAGTTTCCCCTTGGGCAACCATTATATGTATATATGAAATAATACAGGAGGCCCTGTGGATAACTTTTGCAAAGGGATTTTGCGTGACCGAATCACTGAGTAATGTACAGGGTGCCGAGTTGGCGGATGGCACCATTGATCGATTGGGTGGAAGCGCTGAGGCAGAGGTACAGAAGCAGAAATGATCATAGGAAGTCAACATTAAGAAAACATGCGACAGGGAGGTGAATCAAATTCATAAAGTGATTTAATATTGTATAATATCCTATCTGCTGTAACTGTAATGTAATAACATCATACACATTATAGTTCAGTAAAAGACATTTGTTTGATGTCTTCTAAAGGTGGGAAATGCTCGTCTTACCTCTGCTGTTTCATTACGTTTCTTCCAAAAGACCCTGAACTGAACGCCGTAGTAGAATGACATGATGTCTTTGATTCCTGACCTCGGGTCAGCTTCAGGGAGTGAAATGTTGACATGAATGCACTTGCCACATCCAGACAGAGACACCTTTGGAGGACCTATTATGGCTTTTAGAAAAAAGAAAAAGCAGAAAGCAAAACTGTCCAGAAGCTGCAGTCGAGATAATGAACTCATGTGGAAAAGTGAGGTAATATGTACCTATTTTAACAAGAATAATACATATATATATAAATATATATAGTATATATATATATTATATATACAATATCCATAGCTGCTAACTCCTAATTTCAAACAAAGAAGGTAAACCCCTTTGGTGACCGGGGCACCTTCAATGTTTCCATATCCTCAAACCTCGGCAGAAAATAATAAAATAAGGACAATATCACAATTTCTTTAATGTAATTCCCTAATTAGACTGATCTGTTAGCGACAAATCATAATATAGCATGTCATTTGTTATTAGAAGTTAACAAACAGACGTACTCTGAGTGGACGGGTTGAAGGGGATGCTGCTTTCTTTAGACTGAGTATTGTTGTAGGACGCCTGGACACTCAGGCGAAACACCACATGTTTGGGTGGAAACTTTACTGTAAATGATGTTGTCGTTGAGTTGAATGAATGCGTTCTCTTGCTTTTCCCGTACACCCTGCACACAGAAACAAAAGACGCAGGTCAGACATTTTATTTCATGCTGTCGGTGCTCTCTCACTATGGCAAGATCATTTATTTTGTGTATAAACTCTGACACTATCACATATTAGACATATGCGTATCAATGATTAAAAAGAAACCGCAGGAAAGACCCTAGATAAGCTGCTGCTGGGAGACCCCCTAAGGACACACTGAGCTCCTCTCTTCTTCCTCTCTTCTTCTATACGAATTACCATCTCATGAAGATGTTTCACAAATTTGTCATTTGCGATTTTGAGCTATACAAAATGAAACAATTGAATTGAATAATGCTAAATGTAATAGTTGGTAGTATATGTGATTGGTTGGAGGCAAGGCTTAGTTAGTTAGAAGCACAGATTCAGTCGTTAGTTTCTGTAGTTTGTCCGGTGTGATTAGGAGTGACGTCTCCTCCATCAGAGCAGTTACTCAACCTTCTAAAGCCCATAGAGACTGTGTCTGCCCCCCGGCCATCGGTTAGGCCATTAGGCCACCGGTAGAGCCCACATCTGTGTGGATATCAGGAGACTGTGAGAACAGTAGAACAGTATATCCTGCCTACTAATGAGGTTACAGCACTGCCTCCTCTGTAAGCTCACTACCATTATTACCCCATTTGGCAGATTCAACATCAGGCGGCTACCGCTCCGAATAAAGAGTTACTGTCACTCCAACGGTTAAAGAGTTCCACCAAGTTAGAGGAATCCAGGCCAGTTTGGCGAGACAGCCTTAAAGCTTATAAGGAGGCTCTCTGTAATGCAGGATCAGATTATTACTCATCATTAGTAGAGAAAAATAAAAACAACTCCAGGTTTCTCTTCAGCACTGTAGCCCGACTGACAGAGAGTCACAGCTCTGCTGAGCCGTGTATTCCTTTGGACCGCACCAGTAACGACTATTTAATGATAAGATTCTGACTATCAAAGAGGAAATTGATGGTCTCCTTCCTTCAACCAGTGTCGACCCCTCCTCTGGAGTAAGAACCTTGGATGGCTTCTCTTCCATCAACCTTGATCAACTGACTTCTACAATTTCAAAGTCTGGATCTTCTACTTGTCTCTTGGATCCGATTCCGTCTAAGCTGCTTAAGGAAGTTGTTCCCTTAGCACGTCTTTACTGGATATCATGATTCTTTCTTTGTGGACGGAACAATGGGAGATAGTTGAATAAAAACAGCAACAATGGACATATTAGCAGTGAGATGCTTTCATTTAATACTACACATACCAATCAGAGTTAAATGTGATCGCTTAGCAAATTTAAGCCTTACCTCATGACCGGCTTCAAAGTGTAACAACATAAGGACAACAAAAATCGGCACCTAAGGTCAATATAGAAAGAATAAGAAATTGGTCTATTTTAATCAGTTATGTAAATTTACTGGACTGACGCTTTTGTTCGTCTCGGTGTCAGCACTGCCATTGACGAGCAATCCGGGGTTTACCCCGTCGCTCGCCCAAAGTTAGCTGATGACTAACTGCTGGGGTTATTTTTTATTTCTTTCAAAACTATTGCCGGCTCACATGTTTGCAAATCTCTTTTCCCCCGTCACCTTTGGTTGTCATTTTTTCTGTCATTTTCAGCAGGTAAATGTGCTACAGTACAGAAAATAACGTATCAAAATCAAAGTTAGCGCTAATCATTGACATAATCCACACTCCAGGTAATCCCCCCTAAAAAGTGCTTCAACAAATTTGTGTGTTCAGTTCAATCAAATCAAATGTCAACCCTCACAGTGACTGTCAGAAGATCAAATCCTGTCACAAGAGTGGTTTAAATATCACTTCCTTAAAAACGAAGAGTTGGCCTGTCTGTGGTCACAGCTGCACTGAGAACGCACAGGACGCCTTACGAGTGGAAAAAGAAGCCGTTGTGACACAAAACCTCAGCTACCATCAAAAGGAGCAGAAGTTAAAGCAGTCAAACCTCACCACTGGATCAAATCTGATAAAGTTATTAAATTCAATAAATCACCCATAATTGAATCCGATTACCTCAAATAACCTCCATTATTTTCAGACCATTTGACAAATAAACAAAACGTGTTTTATACCAAAATATTTGATTTGGGGCGAGAATGACCAGTGACAAGTAGATGGTTACGATGTGCTGCATCGACATTTTCTCTATTCACAGCTCGGTCATGTTTATTTGGTAAAATATTGACTAATTATTCATTTTTAGTTGATTAGTATTTCTTATCTTTTTCATTGTCTGTGGTTTGCCTTTTTTCTGAAAATGAAAAAAAGATATTTTTCAATAAAAAACATTGCCAGAATAAATGACATAATTTGCTGTCTAGTCTTGTTTGTGAGTAAAATGTACTCTAATTTTGGGGTCTTGACCTTTTCAAAATATTACTGAAGAACCGTGTTGAAGTTTGACCCCCTCCTTTACAAACACTGGAGCCCGAGTGAGCACATGATAGAAGCTACAGAATACATCGTGATACCGAGACGGGAGACAGAGGACCTCACCGCCATTTGATAATGTACGTTGTTCCGGCTGGGGTTCCTCGGCCGGGATCCCAATGCAGGACATGGTGGAAGTTGACGGAGCTGACGGACAGATTGACCGGAGCAGGAAGGGAACCGAGCACTGTGTGAACAAGTTAACAGGTGATGCAGTCAGACTCAAACACAGCACGAGGTCCACCACCCGGCAAAGGGCCCTTCAATGACTGGATAAGAGTAGGTGTGCCGGCACAACGGTATCTGCCTGAGGTATACAATGAATGTTGCTGTACAGAGAATTCACTTCGTCTTGATGAACAGGTTGACTCACCGGTATCCAGGAGTAAGGTGAGATAGAGCACATGAGGCAGAGGGTTCATCCTGTTGGTGTGTCTGCTTGTCCCCCGGACCCCGCATGCCCCTCACAGCTGTTTTAATGCAGACCACAGTACACAGTTACAGTACTCCTTACACTATAGTACACAGTACACCGTCACAGTACTCCTTACAGCAGGGGTGACCACACTTTTTTGGCTTGCAAATTACTTTTCCATCCACCAAGTCATGGCGATGGACTTGGGAAGTGAGAAGTGAGTCAGTACCACGGCGCTCTTCTACCGAGCTCTGGTGGCATGAGGGCCAGCGCCTCCCGGAAGGGCAGACGCCCCCACTGCACTACCTCCAGGGACATTTTTACATTCCCTAATGTTCAAAGAAGTTCAAATATTGATACATTATGAATGTCATCATGTCATTTCAACTGACTATGTCTTTAACCTTTTTGTGACTAGCTTGTTTTTTGGCCTTTCCTCTGGAAATGGCATAACGATAATAACAAGTGTAATAACTCTTTGTCTAACTACTTTGTCTATTTGGACTTTGTTTTCTGTATGATAAAGGGGAACCTGTGAGTGAGCTGATTGATTGAGTGAATTATCTGTATACATATTCCTAGTTGAGTTCCTCAAAAACTGTACAGTAAAATAGATAAACATCAATATAGAGGAGGTCGTCGTGAACAAGAATACAGTGAAATTACAACATAACCTTTATAGTGCAAACATTGTGAGATGAATATTTTTTTATTTCAGAATATTTAATTAAATTAAAATCAGTACAGCGGGGTAACCTCCTATGGTATTATACTGTTAATTCATATATTTCCAAATGTTGGATGCGTCTGACACGTTATATCAAATTGGACAAATGTTCACTACGGGTCCGGTGTCCGTGCCTTTTGGGCCGTACAAGCCCCCGTACCGTAACACCGCCAATAGAGGTGCATTCCATGTCAGGCGGCGGCTCACTCGCCCGAGATGCCGTCCACATATATGAAGTCTACGGTCCACATGACCGCAGTCACTGAGAGTAACGTTCGCTTACAATGGTCCTCAATGTCAAACAGTTACAGTGGTTATATCTTAGTGAGCAGCATGTTTAACATACAAAACAAAACAAGCAGGCGTCTCGATACTGACAGTGACTTACCGACACACACCGCCTGAAGTAACGTCCGTCCTTTCGATATCCGAGAGGCAATGAAAGACACACGGTTACCAGCCGAGTTGTTTACCTCTATTGTCCACACTACGGGGTAAACCGAGGTATCACCTCTCTCTGCACACGTCCCGTCTCCTGAGTAGGCGCGGCCGTGACGTCACCGTCCCCTCGTTTGAGAGAGTTGACAACGCACAGCGGATTAATAAGACTAGGTCATGATCTTTGTGCAAATAGCATGTAGCTACCTGTCGCTAATGGACACACCAGAGGTTTAGCGTTATGGAGGTTAGCTGTCAGTTCTCACAAGTTCATGAGACAGAGGAAGATCCAGAACAAAGTTACACAGATACCGGAAGCTGACTTTCAGTCTGGTCCTAGTTCTAGACGCGTCAGAGGCTCCCTGATAGTATTCCGAGCTGTCTTTACGTCAGTCATTGCAATGTGACGTTGAACGGGAGAACCAATGAATGCGTGGGGGCGTAAACATTTACGTTAATTCATTGATGATTAGAGATGGGGAAAAAAACACATGAAATCATACGATATTTATAAATGTATCCATAAATTATTAAATATTTTCTTTGAAGCAATTAAAAAAAAATACATATATATATATTTTTTTAAATGACCCTTCTTCTGTGCCTGCAATCCTTTCAGAACAGAGAGTAAAACGTATGAAATAAATAGTTTTAATTATAAATTATTAATAATTATATTATACACGGAACAAGTTGCAGCAAAGTGCAGTCCTATTCATATTTAGACCAGTAAAAATCCAGATTTTCACTCCTCCAGTTTCTCTGCTTTGTGGCCTGCATGCACAAACGCCTCTCCTAGAGTAGTCTATCTTACTCTATACCATACCATAGATCTCTGCCCACACACTGGGCTATCACTTAGAGGTACCAGGCTCAAAAAATCATCCAAGTTTTGTAGGGCAGGATACCCTGTCAGGCAATTCTTAAAATCCGAAGGTTTTTTGCGTGTGCCATATGCATTTATTTCTTAACTAGTAACATAAACTGATTTCACACATGAGAACACTCACTTCCTCTTTATCCTGACAGAAAAAAAATGTCCAGATAGAAAAATTTGTTCTAGCATAATTACACTTTCATGCCATTTTCAGAGCAGAAACCCAAAGAAATTGGTTAAGAGCAAGCAGCCTACTGTTACAAACTAATTTCATTGGGGTTGATGTAGGACAGTATCATTGATTTATCATTCTAATATGCGTTTTCAAAATCCAGGCCCTTTGAAGTCTCAAGCTGGCTTTCCTCAGAATTGAGATTCAAGAGGCCTATTTTGTTTGATATCATTATGCATTGCTTCATTTACAAGAGACGGCTCAGAGATGAACCGTTTGAGAACAGATGTATTAGTCGCACAGTGGGGATATTTATACAACATTTGCCTATATATTGAATCATGTCACAAAGCACCTACACAGACCACACAGCTACCGGCATCCTGCTGAGTTGGATGTGTCACAACCGTTTCTTTCCACTTCGCGCCCACCAACCAGTCGTTTTTTCCATTGCTTTCAATCACCATTATTAGGTGTTAACTGTCATTTAAGATGACATACATTTAAAGTGAGAGAAGGTTTGCTACACATCAATTAAATTGTAATTAGATCCATAACATAACTATTACATTATGAATGAGATTTTAAATGTCACTACATTGTCTGTTATGTTCTTGCCCAAATCCATGCCAAAGCCGTTTTTGTCTTAACCCCTTTATCTGTCAAGTTTTAATTAATACAATGTTAAAATGTTATTTCATAAAGGCCAAAACCCATAATGAGGATAGTGGATACCTCATTTGAAATATAGCGATACCAGCTCTTCTCTAAATGCCATGACTGTCGGTGTGGCTATTAGGTGGAAGAAGTGAATTTGTTTCATAAGTGAAAATCTTTCACCACCATCTACCTACGGAAGAGGGGACCGTCCATGCATTTCTATTTTATCAAATCGGTTTGAGCCCCGGCTGCTCCAGGTCCCATGCGGAAGTGTCCTTGAGCAAGACACCTAACCCCTAATTGCTCCCCGGGCAAAAATGTAAAAAAAGCTTTAAAATGCAATGTAAGTCAGTGTAAGCGTCAGCTAAATGACCTGTAATGTGATGTAATATGTACCAAACATGGTCCTAGCTGCTGCAAAGTATGAAGAACACACCTGCGCAGTCCCCGTTCATCCTCCTCAAAGCCAGCGAGCCCCAACTTCCGCCCAACCTCAGATATCCAGCTGTGCTGCTACTACATCCAGCTTCATCGACTGGTGGAAATGGGAAAGCATTGGTGCTGGTTGTGTTCCGAGATGTGGGGGCTGTCGTTGCGGAAACTGTCAGCCAGGCGGCAAAGAAATGACCCTCGCTGAAGAAAGGGAGCTGGAGGTGGTAAAGAGCGGGCTCACATATGTAGCAGCTGATGACCACAGTGAGAGGCCTCACTGGCACACTAAGTACCCCTGGGTGGAAGATCCAGCCACATTACCAAGCAACAGGAGCGCAGTCGAGGCCACATTCTTGAGGACTGAGAGGCAACTGGCCAGGGAGCCAGAATGGAAGGCCGCCTATGCCGCTCAAGTGCACGAGATGGTCGAGCGCAGGGCTGCAATGAAGTTGACCAAAGATGTACTTCGTGAATGGACTGGCCCAGTATGGTACATTAGCCACCTCATCGCACCCAACCCACACTCCGTCACAACTCCGGTAAGACTGGTCTGGAACAGCAGTCAAAAGTGCAGAGGGGTGAGCCTCAATGATCTCCTGCTGAAAGGCCCAGACGTCCTTAACTCAATCCGTGCTGTGCTTCTTAAATTCCGGAGGGGAGGGTTTGCTGCTTTAGGAGATGTAAAGAAAATGTACAATTCAGTGTGGCTGGAAGATCAAGAGGTGCATTTGCATAGGTTCCTGTGGCGTGACTCTGAGGAAGAAGATCTGGCTGAATATGCAGTCACGAGAGTTAACATTGGAGACAAGCCAGCAGGCTGCATCGCTCAACTCGCCATGAGAGAGACTGCTAACCTCCCTCAGTTCAGCCATCTTGAGGAAGAGCGTCGAGTGCTGCAGGAAGACAGCTATGTCGATGACCTCTTGACCTCTCATGATAACTTGGACCAACTTGAAGTCATCACGGGAAATGTGGAGCAGATCCTCAAAGCAGGAGGGTTCGAGTTGAAGCCATGGGTCTTCACTGGCCAAAGTAGGAGGGAGTCGTCTGGAAACGACCAGGCGGTTACTCCAAGGACTGTAATTCTGCCGAATCAGCTCAAAGAGGAGGACAACAAAGCCCTTGGCCTTGGCTACACCCTGGAAGATGACAAGCTTCATGTAATGGTTGGGATAAACTTTTCAAGAAGGAAGAGGAAAATGAGACTTTGCCAAGACCTTCGACTGGAGCAGGTGAGAGCTCAGACGCCAGACCCATTAACACGACGAGAGTTACTCAGCCAAGTTTCTGGACTATATGACCCGATTGGCCTAACAACGCCTGTGAAACAGAAAGGGGCCATTTTGGTTCGGAGAGCATTTCAAGAGGCCAAACCCAAATGTAGCACCAGCAAAGACACTTGGGATCTTGCGCTATCAGAAAAGCTCAGAGAAGATGCCATCAGCCTTTCGAAGAATACGCCCAGCTGAGTAAGGTCAAGTTTCATAGAGCCCTTACGCCAGCAGGTGCACCGGCTGAACCTGATGCAATCACCTTCTCTGATGGCAGCGAGCATGCGTATGGTGCCGTCCTGTACCTACGGTGGGCCTGTAACCAAGGGTCCATGGTGAGGCTGGTGGAGTCTAAAGCTAAGTTGACCCCTTTGGACCACAAGGGGGAAGCAGTCAAGTCAGAGCTTTGTGGAGCAGTATTCGCCGCCCGGTTAAAAAAGTACTTTGAGCAACATGGCCGGATTCAAGTCAAGCAGTGGTACCACTTTGTTGACAGTCAAACAGTCCTTGGTGCAATTCAACGTGAGAGCTATGGCTTTCAGACTTTCTTTGCCAACAGGATTGGAGAAATCCAAGGCAGCACGCAACGTCAGGATTGGTGGTGGATCCCTGGAACGCTCAACATTGCTGATATTATCACTCGTGGGGCTGGTCCAAAAGATTTGGATGAAGGTTCACCATGGCAGCAAGGACCAGAGTTCCTGAGTTTACCAGCAAATGAGTGGCCAATTAAGTCTGCAAAGGACGTATCCGCAACTGCCAGAGAGAGTGTTGGAAAGATGCAAAAGAAAACATTTACTGCCGTACTCGCAAGAGCTCAGGTGAAGAAAGGGCCACCAGACCTGGAGTGTCGGAGACCACCTGCTGGTGCTGCTGTCCGAAACCTGGTGGATGAAGGACGGTTCAGCAACCTGACTCACCTGGTTAAAGCGGTTGCCCAGGTCTGGAGAGCAGCTAAGTGCTTTGCAGCTCAAAGCAGGATCTTGGGGACTCCAAAGTGGGAGGCAGTTTCATCAGCCGGGGTCATCACTGCAACAGAGCGCCAAGACGCCTTAAGAGACCTTTTTCTTGCTGCACAAGAGGGCGTGACCTTTCCAACAACCACAACGGACCGGTTGGTAGTCTTCAAAGAAGAAGGAACGGGGCTACTAGTTTGTGGTGGGAGGGTCCAGGCTTTTAATGAAGACCGAGTTAGTGTTCCCCTCTTACCTTACAGTGCCTGGGTTTCAACATTGTTGGTTCGTGAAGCTCACAGCAGGGGTCACGAGGGAACAGCTGCTACTCTACTGAAAGTGAGAAAGAGAGCATGGGTCATCAAGGGACGGAGAATTGCTCAAAAAATCATTGAAAACTGTGTGATTTGCAAGTAAGCCAGAGCTAGAAGATGTCGCCAAGTGATGGGTGATCTGCCTCAAGAGAGAACCAGGCCAGCGGCTCCATTTGAATTCACGGCAGTTGACCTGTTTGGACCGTATCTGGTCAAGGATGATGTGAAGAAGAGAGTCCGGATGAAGGTTTGGGGCGTCGTATTCTGCTGTATGGCCAGTAGAGCAATCCACACAGAGCTGGCCAACACCATGTCGACTGAAAGCTTTCTGATGGCTTATCAGAGGTTCACAGCAATTCGAGGACATCCTAAGAAGATTTGGTCCGACCCAGGGACCAATTTTGTTGGTGCCAAACCTGTTCTGGAGGAGTTGTATCAGTTTCTGGATGGTTTGGATAGGCCTGCTGTGGAGGAAACTTCAGCTCAAAATGGAACCAGCTGGCATTGGGAAATCCAGCCGGCTGATTCACCTCATCGAAATGGCTCTGCTGAAGCAGCTGTTCGAATTGTGAAGAAGGCGTTCCAGAGTCTGGGGAGAGAATCAGAGCTCAGTTACAGCGAACTTCAGACGACACTTCAGCTCGCTGCTAATCTGTCGAATGAGCGCCCCATTGATGCCAGGGTGCAGAGCTGTGAAGACACCG